ATCCTGACTCCCAGTTCCCCCTATACCACACTATCTTTCAAATAGTGACTGCTCACTTAGTACTAGGTGGATGGCCTGCAGGGGGAGGTGGGAACACTGGGAACAAGATCTGATTCTTGACTAGAGAGCTGAAAGAAACCATAAACCAAACACTACAGGAATGCGCCCTTCTGGCTGGGGTTTTGTGGGAAAGGAGAGATTTGTGTTTTTGTGTTGAGAAGACTGGGATAGTTTGGATCTCTTGGTTTCTAAATCTGTTAAAAGACCACCACCCACCACCTCATGAGTCCTATCCTGTCTTGTGGAATCAGAATTACCGAAGTGGAGCCCAGGCATTTTTAAAAAAAGTTCCCTTGGTGATTCTTTTCCTCAGCAAGTCTTGGAAGTGCCTTCCAGATAGAGGAAATAGTTGGAGAAATATGGAAGTCAGCATAAGACATATGTGGAGAGCAGAGTGTAATCTGATTATTGATTTTAGCTGGAGTTGGGAGTGGATTAGGGAATATTGGGAGAGAGAAGGCTGTAAGGGTGATTTGAGCTGGCCTGTAGAAGGCCTTAGCTGCCAGGCCTGGGCGTGTAGACTTTATTTGGTAAATAAAGGGCAAGTGTGGAAGAGTTTTGTGTAGGGGATAAGCATGCTTTCTTGTGGCAGAGCAGGGGAGACTCGAGGGTGGGTGAGTGGTCAGACGCGGGGACCCACTTGTTAGGAAGTGATGCATGATCTCAGTTGCAATATTTGAATTACTAGGGTGGTAATGGTGGGCCTGGGAAGGAAGGGAGCAGAGCACAAAGGCTTTTCAAAGGAAGGGCATGTTGGATTTGCGGGGGTTTGGTTGGGCAGGGTGGAAGACAGTCAGAGCTAGATCTTACTGTTTACTAATGAGGCACAAGGTGTTGGGTAAAGGACTATGGTGAGCAGATAGGATACTACTGGGAGACCACCTTGGATTCATCTTTGTTTCCTCTCTAGCCCATAGCACTTATATCTAGTCAGTTGCCTGTAGCTGGGTCAAGTGAGGTAGGGGGCCAGATCTCCATCATCAGAAGTGACTCATGGGAGTCAGTAAAACTTCTGGGGTTGGGGCCTTGGAGAGTCTCAAATAGTTGCTGTGGTTTTTACTTTTATTTTTATAGATTTGGGGGATACCAGTACAGTTTTGCTACATGGATATAATGCATAGTGGTGAAGTCTAGGCTTTTAATGTAACCATGATCCAAATAGTGAACATTGTACCCAGTAGGTAATTTTTCAACCCTCTCTTGGTTGCTGTGATTTTGGAGACAGGTTCATGGTGAAGCTGGCTGAAGAGACAGATGGGATAATTGTCTCCAATGACCAGTTCCGGGACCTGGCGGAGGAGTCTGAGAAGTGGATGGCAATCATCAGAGAACGGTGAGGGAGCCCTCCTGCTGAGAATTGGGCACAGATGCAGATGTTTTTCTAAAGCCAGCTCTGCTCTGGCCATGGGGTGAAAACTCTGGGAAGCAGGTGAAGTTTTCTTGAAGGATGGAGCCAGCAGCTTCTGGTGATACTGGTCTCAGTCATCTGGGAGGTGGGCCAGGGCCCTCTGTGACCGTATCTTTCGCCATCCAGCCTGCTGCCCTTTACCTTTGTGGGAAACCTCTTCATGGTACCTGATGACCCACTGGGACGAAACGGCCCCACCCTGGATGAATTTCTGAAGAAGCCAGCCAGGTAATCCTTCCCCTAGACTACTTGCAGGCAGCCCCCACCCCTGGCCCTCTCTCAGCAGGCCCAGAGACTTGGGTGGAAGTGTGATCTCAGTTTGGGCAAAATTAAGTGTAGTCTTAATTTTGCAGTGGTTTGAGTTGCCTTGGCCTTTATAAGCTTCCCAGGGGATCCTGACATAGAACCTCCTTGCTGGGAGGGAAACACCTGCTTCCTGTTTCTCTTAATCAGCATGTTTGATGGAGTTATTTGGAAAACGGTTGCTTATACTGAGAGCCAGTTGTATTCAGCATGCCTTCTACTGACCATTACATAAGTGATTCATTTAGGACTAGAACTAGATCATAATAGTGGCAGAGTTCACCCTGGTTCCAAAAGAACGGCCCAGTTCCCCTTCAGAAGTGGGTTGATACTGCCACTCAGTGGTCAGCTTCAGGAACTTCAGGGTTTCTCCCCCAAAGCCAAGAATAGGCAGGACAATTAAGAGAGGGATAGCCCACTAAGATCTAATTTCCCCCCAGGATGCTCATCAGCTCTTTTTGGTCTGTTTCTTCCTAGGACACAAGGGTCTTCTAAGGCTCAGCATCCTTCCAGGGGCTTTGCAGAACATGGTAAACAGCAACACGGGAGAGAAGAGGAAAAAGGTAGTGGTGGCATTCGGAAGACCCGGGAAACAGAGCGGCTCCGGCGGCAGCTGCTGGAGGTGTTTTGGGGTCAGGATCACAAGGTGGACTTCATCCTGCAGCGGGAGCCATACTGCCGGGACATTAACCAACTGTCTGAGGCCCTGCTCAGTCTTAACTTTTGAGCCTCACCTGCTTGAGTGGTTGCCGCCCCGTCAGCTCCAGCCGCCTCCAGCTCAGCCCTTTCTGTGAGAGTCCCTCTGCTGCTCACACTCTGATCCAGAGTCACCCTGAGTTGATGCTTTGGATCAGGGAAGCCACTTTGGGACAGGTCCATAAAGTGACCTGATCTTACCAAGTCAGGACCTCAGCCGGCTCTCAAGAGGTTCTGCTCAGCCTTAACTTCTCAACTTTGCCTTAGCACAGGGTTTCTGTAGGGAGTAGGGGCTGCTGGAGAGGATTAGTTCTGGACACTGAGACTGTTGGCTCCACCTCCAAGCTGAGCTGGGGTGGAGGGCAGGGTGGGCGGGAACTGACAGGAAGTTAAGCTGTTCCTCTCTCTGGCTGCTGCTGTGGATGGCCAGAGGACAGGATACTCCCTGGCTGAGCTCCTGGGAGGAAGGAGACGCTGGGCCCTGGAAGGGCCACAGTGTTATGTGGATGGGGCCACGATAGGATGGAGTGAGCTAGTGAAGAAGGCAGAGGGAGACTTGGCTTCTGGTCTCAGCTATGCCTGTTTGTGACCTTGATTGAGTTGCTTGGGCTTTACTTCTGCCTACAAATCAGTGGTAAAAATACCTGTTGGGAGGAGAAATGAGAACATAGAGGAAAGCTTCTTGGAGAAAAGGTGCTTGGACCAAGTCTCAGGTGTGTCTGCCTGTGGCTGCACAGGCTCTCTAACCAAAACCTCACTTTCAGAGAGATGTGGGTCCTTTGTCTTCAGGGTCCACACCCTAGATTTTAACACTGCATTCTCACTATAACATGCCCTATAATGGCTGCATCCCTTTTGAGCAACCTCCAAAATCCACATTTACACAATAGGTAAATTAGGGATGACTGCATTATCAGAATACTCTCAGGGTTCCTATAAATGGCAGCTCTCCTGTTGTATTCAAGTGTTTGTTTACAGACTAACAAATTTGTTGGCAAATCCCTGGTTAGATGCACTTGCTGGTGTTGAGATGAACACATCGATTTTTCACCAAATTGATGAAGCCATGCTCTGCAATGACAATATTAATGTGATCCAACCCTAACATTTTCTCTATGGAAGACATATGTTGCATAAAGCGAGGCACACTTCTGCTTTCTGTATATGTATGGGGATGGGAGGACTTAACGGAAGTTGAACCAGTTGGTTCTAGATGAACCAATTATCTGGAAAATGAAAGAACCAGAGTTGGAAGGCACTTGACTGGCTACCAGACCAACTCTGCTGTCACTAACATGCTCTCTCCACCCTGATTCCTACAGGTCATTGCCCTGGGTCTGCTTGAAGTCCTCCTGTGCCAGGGAATTTACTATCTCCAAGGTAGCACATTCCCTGTGTAGACGGTATTAATCAGTACTCCTTCCTTTAGTGCAGCCTAAAGTATGCTTTTCTGTTACGTCTACCTTTGAGGCTGGTCATACCCCCAGGAACAATACAGAGCCAGTCAACTTCCTGGAATCCAAGACCAGATAAAGAAGTAGGACAGGTGCCCCTGGATTCTGTTCTATGTGGGCCCTGTGGTGAGTCTCTGGATAAGATCTTTTCCAGGCCCTGACTTTTGCCTCCCTCTGAATGGCACAGGGAGTTGAATACTGCATGGAGAATGTAATGATGATGGGGAGGGTCCTTGGGTCCTTGTGTCCTCACTCCTCCCTTTTTGGTGATTTACACCACTGTACCATACTGACCCAGGCTGGGGGCAGGTGTGTTGGAGACAGGCTGGTCAAGGAGGTGACAATGATTCAGAGATAACCCAGAGGTCCCTGAGAAGAAGAGACTGGTTAATATGGCCTGAACTGGTGGCTGGGGGAACTGTGTCTGATCAAGTTATGGCAGATGTCACAGCTTTAGGTAGGTAAAAAGGGTCCTAGATGAAAACTTCGGAGGTTTTTTTTTTTTTTTTCCGGATAGGGTTGTTTATAGTTCTTGATTGGTATCTTGCCCTTTTCACTTTCAGTGATGGTGGGTGTACAGTAGACCAAAAGTATCTTCTGCCCTTTTGTGCTAACGGTGCTGGTTGACTTGAGTGGCCCCAGTCAGATGAAAGGCAAGTCCTAAGCTTCTTATAGACAGGGATGTTGGCTTTGTTCTGCTGCAGCCTGATAAACTGGGACCACTGTGTGGTTAGTAATGCACTTGCCATTTGGTGACACAGACTGAAGTCTATCCTACACCTGGGCCTCAACTCTTCCTCTACTGGCATTCTAATGGCACTCTGACAGCATCCAGGGTGACTACAGGGCCCACTGGAAATGGATCATCATTCTGTCTTCTAGTGCCTACCTTTATCATAACCAGATGTCCCAAACTTGTGACAAGCTTTTTTGGCAACTGAAGGACCAAGAAGGGAGAGGGTGATGAGAGAGACTGCCCATTATAACTTTCAAAACCCCGTCTTGGGGGAGGAATCATCTAGGGTGACATTCCTTGAAGTAAATCGTAGGCGAATCTAGGCCAGAGAGATGAGCCAAGGTTAGTGAGATAATTTATCTTTATTGCCTAAACTGCAGAGCATTCTCTACACAGCATAAAGGAGAAGTGGGGCAGCTGCAGGACATGTAGAGAAACCCAACTGGGAAATCTTGCAAGGAGTTGAAAAGATTAATGTCCCAACCTGATGAGATTACAGCCTTGAGACAATAAGGTGGAGCAACAGAACAATGGGAAAGAGGACTGGGGGAGAAATCTAAGAACCAGATGGCTTCAGCTCTCTAGAGGAGCCGAGCCTATTCACAGTGCCTAACCTGGAAGCCTATGACGGACAGGCCTCAGGCCCTTGCCATGACCTACTTAGGCTACAATTTCCTTTAAGGCAGCCCCTAGCTCTGGGAAGGAGTACTGGTAGCCAGTAGCCAGTGTTCGCCGTGGGATCACCTTCTGGCCCTCCAGCAGCATGATGGCACGCTCTCGCCCAAAGACAGCTTGCACTATAGTGCTGGGGACAGGGATGAAGGCTCGGTGGCCCAGGGCAGCACCCAAGGCCTGGGCAAACTCAGCATTAGTGGCGGAGGATGGAGCCACTCCATTCAGGACCCCGTGCACGTGGTTTGCTTCAAGAGCATGGGTCAGGATTCCTGCCAGGTCCCCGATGTGTATCCAGGGGAAGAATTGGTGGCCTGAGCCGATGGGGCCCCCCAGGCCCAGCCGAAAGGGCAGCAGCATGTGGCCGATGGCACCACCCCCACGGCCCAGTACAACCCCTACAGCAGGCAAGAGGGAAGGTACAGAGGTCCTCTCAGCCTTGAAGCAGCCCCACTGCTCCTCCTGGTTTCTGTTTCCCTTTCCTCACTCTCCCCATGCTGACTTGGCTCTGTAACAGAAGTGAGCAGTATGGCTCTCTAAGACTTCACACCTTCTCATCTGCAGGTTGGCTAGAAGTGGTAGCATCCTCTCACTCTGTAATCTCAGCTCTCCTAATCCCATCAGCTCTCCTAATCCCATCACTTCCCCAGCCCAGAGAAGATATTCCAACCCTGTCTGATACCCAGGCCCCTGTTTCTCACCCGAGCGCACCACCACCTGGCGTGTAGAATCTCCAGGAAGCCTGGCTTCAGCTTCCCATTTGGTTACGAGGTTGGAGAAAAAGTCAAAGTCCCCTCCTGGGCTGTCTTCATCATACTCCGCAGTCAGACTGGGCTGGTAGTAAGCTGCCGGTGGAACACACTCATTTGCCCTGGGTGTCCTTGGTCCTGCCTGGCTCTCTGTAGTGGAGGCTTCCTTGGCCTCACCTTCTTTGGCCCTTAGGATCTCCCCATTTGGAGACAGCGCCATTTGGATATTTTCCCCTTGACCTTCTCCAGGACCTGAAGTGTTCCTTCCCTGGAGGAACTCTGGTTGCAGGGCTAAACTGAGAGGCTGCTAGAGTGTAGTGGTTAAGAACAGGAACTTGGGTACCAGGCTGCCTGAGTTTTAATCAGCTTCCTCATTTTTAACTCTGTGACTTGATGCAAGTTACTTAACCTCTCTGTATAGAATTTTCACATCTTTAAAATGGGAATAATAGTACCTACCTCATAGGGTTGTTGTAAGGAATAAATGATAATAAGCATAAAACACTTCAAATAGTGGCTGGTGTGTGCATTATAATTGTTTGCAATTACTTGGTCCCAGAGGTGACCAGGAACTCTGTTCCTAAAGAACCATGGTGTGAGAAGTAAGGGACTTTGGAATAGGTGGGCTTTTCCCGGGCACTAAGAGTGATGCCACTCCTCACTCTTTTTCAGGGTCTTAGTTTCTTAGTGAAAGTACACAAAGGTTAGGAGAAACATGCATGGATCAAGGGCCTAGGAAGTCATTTTGCCTGGAAAAGACCAGTGCTCTGGTGTGTGCACACCTACAGAGGTCTGAGTTACCCCCTTCCCATGGCTAATATGAGGGGCTGGTGATTTAGGGGGCATACCTACACCTGTGACTAAGACCCAGGCCTTGGGGGGTTGTGGGGCTTTGGTGATGGCTTTAGCCAGCAATTGGGTGGTCTCTAGGCGGCTGCGGAGAACCTCTTTTTGGAAGGTTTCATTCCATCTGCAGGAGAAACATGGGAAATAAAAAGCCACTAAATACATAGGTCCACATATCCCTCTCTCTATCTTTTCCTGGGAACTATTTCATACCCATTTCTAGTAAAGTCCTGAATTTTGGCTTAATAGAAACAGTCAGCGTCTCCTGTAGAGGGAAAGGGCATACATTTTCTGGGCACCCTGAGTTATACCTGAGGACTTAAGCCAGTTGGCTGACTGGGTGGAGAAGTGGAGCAGAATGAGTAGTCTGGGATATCGGTTTAGTTCAGAATCTGGGAGCTCCATTACCGGTAGCTCACAGATTCTCATCAGTGGTACACTCTCCTCCCTATGCTCTAGTGGGTATCAGCTTTAGGGCCCAGGCTGACCTTCGGAGAGGGTTGAGGATGTTCTCTCCGGCCAGGTTGACGGCGGCATCGCAGCTCGGCAGCCCAGATGCAGCGAGCTCATCCTGTTGGAGAAAGCACACAGTGCCCCTGCCCCACCCTGCACCGCCCAACTCTGCCCTCCCACCCGCTTCCAGAGGATGGACTTACCCACGTGATCCGGCCGGGCCCGGGCTGTCGGGAGACCAACGTCACTTCGTGGCCTCTGGCATTCAGCAGCTGGCTTAGGGCTGTCCCAATGAAGCCCGTCCCGCCACCTGATCGGAAAATACAAATTGCTTACATTCCCGGGGAGTCGGGGTGGGGGCGCCTTTCGTCCCCGCTGTGGTCCCCCTCTTCCGGCGCCAGCCCATCTGACACCAGACTGCTCCCCACTTCTCCCCCTCCCCGCTATGCAGAGGTGACACAGGTCACAGGGATTAGGGAGATTCAGCTTCTCGGGCTAGGAGGCCAAGGCCGGGTTACCAGTGCACTAGACAGTGCCCTCCCGGAAGCGGATTCCCAGCCCTCAATATCCGACTAAGCCCGCCCGGCACTCTCCCTTTCTGCGGTCCCTCACCCACAAGCACACGCATAGTGACTAGGACCTAACGCGCCTGCGTAAGGTTTAGAATTTACCTCACTTCAAACGCGACTACGACCTCTCTGCGCATGTCCCTTTCGGAAAGCGGGTTCCAATAGAGGTCGCAATCCTGTGCGTGGCCCTTCTCGGCGACCCGGAAAAACTTGTAAATATAGGCTGTGTGTTTCTCTAGCAAGCGAGGTGGGAGGGATTAGACCGAAGGACCCAGAAAGGGCGGAGGAGGGAAGGTTTTAGTGTAGAAAACCAGCCAAACCGAACTCAACCAACAAAACCCTTCGCTTAAAACTCGAAGCTACCCAGACCTCAGAATTCTGGATGTCTATTAAGTTGGTAATGCAAGAGAACCCTTCCACCGGTAGTCTGGATTTCTTTCCACTCGGCCAGTTTTTTCTTCTCTCTCTTCCCGCTGGCTCCTTTCTATCTGCATTTAAACATTCCAAAGATCCCCTCATATTAAAATAACCCTTCTCCAGACCTGTTTTCCCTCCAGCTAATATTCTGTTTTTTTTTTTTTTTTTTGCCTTCATAGCCAAACTTCCCAAAAGTGTGGTTGCCATTTTCTCCTTCTTACTTCACTCCTATAGGGTTTGTGCCTTTATCATTCATTTCCTCACTCTCCAAGAACATGTTTCCCATGTGTCAACAAATCTAATCCCTAGTTTTCAGTTAGTTTTCTTGACCTCTCTGTATCATTGGGCAACTGCTGATTCCTTCCACTCTTTGAAAATGTTTGGCCTCGGTGAAAGACATTCTCTTCTGGGTCTTTCTCCTACCTTTTTTCAGTCTCTGATGCTTGCTCCACCTCTGCTAAGTTCTTAAAATATTGGTATTCCTCAGAGCTGGGTCCTAAGACCTTCTCTTCCCACTCTGCACTTTACGCCAGGCATCTATGCCTTGAATTCAGTTACCAGGCTTTAACAGAAGACATCCCAAATCTCCTATGCAACTTGGATCTCTCATCTGAGCTCCTAACCCCTATAAAAACTTTTCACTACACATCTCTTCTTGGACATCTGAAACCCTATTGATTTTAAATACGGAATCTCTCCCAGGTTTATCTGAGAGGGGTCTTTGAAAAGTTCATGGAAAATGTGTATTATGCTAAAAACTACATAGGTTTCCAAATTTTTTTACACCAAAATAAACTTGTATTGACTTGTTATATAACATGTCTGAACAGGATCTGAGGCACTAAGACGGCTAAGACAGTTTGAAAAGAGCCCCTATTAAAGCAATCTGAATTCTGCGAAAATTGAAGCAAGAACAAACACGGAATTTGTGGTGAAGAATGATGAAATTGATGCTTTAGGAAAAATTTATGAGGACAATGCCCCAAATAAATCAGCAGTCTACAAATGCGTAACTCATTTTAAGAAACGAGGAGACGTCAAGGCATGGTGGCTCATGCCTGTAATCCCAGCACTTTGGGAGGATTATGCACGAGGCTCTCTCAAGTCCAGGAGTTTGAGACCAGCCTGGGTAACATAGCGAGACCTCACCTGTACTAAAATTTAAAAATTAGCCAGGTGTGGTGGTGCACACCTGTAGTCCCAGTGTCTTGGGAGGCTGAGGCAGGAGGATTGCTTGAGCCCAGCAGTTCAAGGTTGCAGTGAGCTATGATTGAGCCACTGTGGTCCAGCCTGGGCAACAGAGTGAGACCCCATCTCAACAAAATGGGGAGGAGTTGATGTTGAAGATATAGATAGTGGCAGAGTATCCACATCACTTTGTGAGGAAAAAAATTCATCTTGTTTGTGCCCTAATTGAAGAGAACAGCAGAAACAATAGCCAACACAAGAAACATCTCAATTGGTTCAGTTTACACAATTCTGACTGAAAAATTACAGTGGAGCAAACTTTCCATTCAATGGGTGACAAAACTGTTGTACTCAGATCTGCTACAGATAACAGCAGAGCTTTCAGTGGAAAGTTTAAACAAGTGGAGTCAAGATCCTTGATATGACTTTGTGATCTCACCCAAATCTCATCTTTAATTGTAATCCCCAGCTATTGAGGGAAAGACCTGGTGGGAGGTGATTGGATCATTGGGGCAGTTTCCCCCATGCTGTCTTCATGATAGTGAGGGTGTTCCCATGAGATCTGATGGTTTTATAAACAGCAGTTTCCTCTGGGCTTTTCACTCACTCTTTCCTACCACCATGTGAAGAAGGGCTTTGCTTCCTCTTTGCCTTCCACCATGATTTTAAGTTTCCTGAGGCCTCCTGAGACATGCAGAACCGTGACTCAGTTAAACCTATTTTGTTTATAAATCACTCAGTCCCCGGCAGTTGTTTATAGCAGTGTGAAAACAGACGAATACAGTCCTGAAGCATTTCATCAAAGAATTGTAACAGGAGATGAAACATGGCTTCACCAGTATGATCCTGAAGAAAAAGCACAAGCAAAGCAATGGCTATCAAGAGGAGGAAGTCAAAGCAAAGCAGACCAGTCAACAACAAAGGTAGTGGCAACAGTTTTTTTGGGATACTCAAGGTATTTTTCTTGTTGACTTTGTGGAGGACCAAAGAATGATAACATTAATTTGCCTATTGAGAGTGTTTTGAGAAAGTTAGCCAAAGCTTTAGAAGAAAAACACCTGAGAAAGTTTCACCAGACAGTTCTTCTCCACTGTGACAATGCTTCCGCTCATGTCTCTCATCAAACAAGAACAATTTTGTTAGTGTTTCAATGGGAAATCATTAGGCATCCACCTGATTTGGCCCCTTCTGACTTCTTTTTGTTTTCTAATCTTAAAAATATCTGTCAAGGGCACACAATTTTCTTCAGTTAATAATGTAAAAAGGACTGTATTGACATGGTTAAGTCTCCAGGACTCTCAGTTCTTTAGGGTGTACTAAATGGCTGGTGTCATTTCTTACAAAAGTGTCTTGAACTTGGTGGAACTTATGTTGAGAAATAAAGTTCATATTTTATATTTTTTATCTTTTAATTCATTTTTTCTGCATTTTGAAATTTCCTCATATTTCCCTCTGTCTCTGCCATCACAATCCTCTTATGAGTTATTCTGTCTTGTGTAAATATCTGCAATAGTCACCTAGTAGGTCTTCCTGCTTTTGCATGTTTCTCCTCTCCAAACTATTTCAGACATTGCAAGCTGAGTGACTTTTGAAAACCATATGAGGGGAACATTATAGTGGCATGTATAGTTTAAAAAACTCCCAGTTTAAAATTCCTGGATATGCTGGATAAAATTAAACATACTCCATTTAAATGTATTGCCAAGTTAGCTAGAAAAATAAAAAAATCCCAGAGGCCAAAAATTGAAATGTGTCTTGGGACTGAGGTTATGACAAAGATTATTTGCTTGGCCAAACTTTAGTCAGGCTTCTGAACCTTCTAGGCTTATTTGTACACCTCTTTGTAAAATCCAGTTTTCACAAAGAGCCTTGCTAAGTCAGTTTAGCAAGAACCCCCTCACCCTTGATATCTGATCATTCTCAATCTCTGATCAGGCCCCTCATCCTTCACCCCCTAGGTGATGTCTGATCACCTTGGCCTATCTTCACATGAATCCCATTACTTTGGGTTAGCCAGAATCCCTCTTACCCTTGATATTTTTCTCTTATTTGCTGTTCATCTACAGAGTTGAGCCCAATCTCTCCCACTGCAAGACCACATTGTAGTGGTACCTATACTTATTGTGATGGAAAATCTTCCTTACCTTACTCTATGAAATGTCACTGAATAATTGTCTTTAACAGGTATTTTGTGGCTTTTAATTTCAGTAACCCAGAGGCTTGGGTGGCAGGAGACAATGCCTGAGATTGAAGTAAATTTGGAACGGAGACCCCTGCATAAAGCCCTTGGACTGTGTTCTCAGAGAAAAAGTAAACTTTAAAAGTCCACCTGGTATCAAAGAACATGGCTTGGAAACTTGTTTCTCTAGGCTTTGCTCTTGTCTAGGACTGGTTGTAAAAAAAAATTACTATTCTCTGAGAAGTTTTATCTATTTTCCTGTCCTCCATCATATTTGTGATTTGAATTAGTTGTTACCTACTTGGCCTAGGAGGCTCTAACCCAATAGTTTAAATTAAGTGTCCCAGAAAGAAGACATAAATCTTCCCTTGGTTTGGTTTCACAGGATTTCAATAGATAAAATCCTGTGAAACATAAACATACAATCCAAAATTACAAAACACACAAATAAACAAAGCACTCTGAAGAAGTGTCAAAACAACAACAACAACAACAAACAGCAGAATTAGACAATCAAGGATTTAAAATGTTAGAATTTAGAGATATAGAATATAAAATTACTAAGTTTCAAATGTTTAAGAAAGAGAAGAAATTAAAAACATGAGAAAGGGACAAGATGCTATCAAAAAATACCAGCAGAATTGATAAAGAACCAACCTGAACTTTGAAAAATTAAAATGTGACGATTCAAATTTTTTTTATTATACTTTAAGTTCTAGAGTACATGAGCACAAGGTGCAGGTTCGTTACATATGTATACATGTACCATGTTGGTGTGCTGCACCCATTAACTCGTCATTTACATTAGGTATTCCTTCTAATACTATCCCTCTCCCCTCCCCCCACTCCACGACAGACCCTGGTGTGTGATGTTCCCCACCCTGTGTCCAAGTGTTCTCATTGTTCAATTCCTACCTATGAGTGAGAACATGTGGTGTTTGGTTTTCTGTCCTTGCGGTAGTTTGCTCAGAATGATGGTTTCCAGCTTCATCCATGTCCCTACAAAGGACATGAACTCATCCTTTTTTATGGCTGCTTAGTATTCCATGGTGTATATGTGCCACATTTTCTTTTTTTTTTTTTCTTTTTCTTTTTTATTTTTGAGACGGAGTCTCACACTGTCGCCCAGGCTGGAGTGCAGTGGCGTGATCTTGGCTCACTGCAAGCTCTGTCCCCTGGGCTCATGCCATTCTCCTGCCTCAGCCTCCCGTGTAGCTGGGACTACAGGCACCCGCCACCATGCCTGGCTAATTTATTGTATTTTTAGTAGAGACAGCGTTTCACTGTGTTAGCCAGGATGGTCTTGATCTCCTGACC